AACCTCTACTTACCGTCGTCCAAATTGGATTAGTTAATATCCTTCTATCTTGGGGTATTCTTCCGGCAGCTGTAGTTGGACATAGCAGCGGTGAGATTGCTGCGGCTTATGCTTGTGGTGCTATCTCAATGACTGATGCTGTACTCATCGCATATTATCGTGGGAGAGCGATGATAGAGGTGCGCCAGAATGGTGGCATGGCAGCTATCGGTCTGGGTAGTGAAGCGGCTAGCGAGTTCTTGAGGGACGGCGTGGTCGTTGCTTGTGATAACAGCCCGGAAAGTGTCACACTGTCGGGAGACATTTCATCCCTTCAGGCCATGATGAGGGATATTGAGAGTGCCAAGCCAGCAGTCTTTGTAAAACAGCTGAGGGTGGAAATGGCGTATCATTCTTGTGAGTTTATCCCTAATTTAACGGTGTGGATGGTAACCAAAATATGCAGACCATATGCGGGGTATCGGGAAAGACTACGGAGACTTGCTTGATACGATGGTTGTTGCTCGGAAAGCCACAGTACCATTCTATTCTTCTGTCTCTGGAAGGCTCAAAATGGGACATGGAGTGCTAGGGGCCGCGTATTGGCGAAGTAATCTCGAGTCACCAGTATTGTTCAATTCTGCCGTGAATTCCTATCTGAAAGATAACGACACTGATACCATCTTCGTTGAAGTTGGACCTCAGTAAGTTTGTGATTTTTCGCCAATTGTTCTTCATTAATACGGCTTAGCTCTACCTTGGCTGGTCCGCTGCGACAGATTTTCAAGGCAGCGAATGTGAATTACGACGTTTCTTACGCATCCTGTCTTGAGCGGCGTAAAAATTGCTCCGTTTCTATGCTTAACTTAGCTGGTACATTATGGCAGCGGGACATAACCCTAGATCTTAGCATCTTATGCCCAGAAAACGAAGTTCTAACAGATATTCCGAATTACCCATGGTCCCGGGATACAAAGTATTGGAATGAAAACAGAGCTGTCAGGCAATGGTGAGCCTTTTCATAATCTGTAAATAGGTTGCGAGTTGTAGAGTGGCTAACATGTCGTAGGCGGTGTCGAGAATATCCGCGTCACGAACTTCTGGGCACGCGTATCATAGAGTCTATAGATCGAGAACCGAGTTGGCGGGTGCTATTGAACCTGGAAGATACTCCATGGATTCGTGATCACAGAGTAGGGGAGGATATAGTATTTCCTGCAGCCGGGTACATTGCTATGGCTGGCGAAGCAACAAGGCAATTATCAAGCGTCTCGGATTATACGATGCAAAATATCCTCATCAGTACAGCACTTGTCATGAAGGAGGGCGAAACGCATGAGATCGTAACTTCGCTAAAGCCATCAAGGCTTACAGATTCTCTTGACTCGGTGTGGTACGACTTTTCTATTTCATCTTTCAGCGGAACCTGGCTGTTACATTGTTCTGGCCAAATCAAAGCTGGTGGGGCTGAGGAAAAATCGGAAATTCATCAGCCTCTATCAAGAAAAATATCTTCACCATACCACAGCTTGAAATCGATCGGACTAAATTACGGTCCTTGTTTTCAGGGTCTTGCCAACATAACAACAAGGCCAGGGGCTAAGATCGCTTTTGGAACGATATTAGCGCCTACTGCTTTTATTCAGGATGCTTATCAACTTCATCCGACCAGCATTGACTGCTGCTTACAATTATTCATGCTTGGTGCTTCAGAAGGAGTCTCGCGGCGGTTGGATCGACTCTACGTCCCTACTGAAATTGATTACCTTTACGTGGGACAAGCGGATTTGTCAGGTGATTTGCAAGCGATTGCAACTGCTACAACTGTGTCTACAGCTAGGATTAACGGTCATGCCACTGTAACGACCAACGACTCTAAAGTGGTCCTGTCCCTCGAAGGTGGCCAGTTTTCGTCGATCGAGAACGATGTTGCCACAACGAATAATATCGCGGGTGCTGAAATTTATTATGCTCCCGATATCGATCTGTACAATGCGGAAAGCCTCATTCGTCCTCGAGGTGATTCCGAAATGCTTTCAGGTTGGCTTTCTGCAGAAGAGCTTTGCATGCTGTGCATGATAGAAATGATGAAACGAGCAAGACCCGCGTCTCTCAGCTTGCCCCACCTAGAAGACTTTTATTCTTGGATTGCGTCGCAGATCGAACCCTTAGATGAAGAAAATCACATTTCCTCCCAAAGTTTGAAGAAAGGACAAGCTATGAACTCTGGTCAGAGGCTAGAAAAGATTGAGCAATTGAGTCAGGAAATCTCGTCATCAAAGGCCTCCGCCGTATCGAACTTGGTAAAGAGGGTTTTTGATGATTGGAGTCAGCTAGTGCAGGGTCAGGTCGAACCACTCGAGATCTTGCTTCCTGATGATGGATTGACCAAATTTTATAATGTCTTAGAAGGTTTGACTAATTATAGCGACTTCTTCGCAACGCTCGGGCACAATAATCCTGGCCTCAGAATTCTTGAGATCGGAGCTGGTACTGGCGGAACTACTTCTGCCATTCTCAAAGCACTTACAACTCCTAACGGCACTCGGATGTATGGAAAATATTCTTATACCGATGTATCAAGTGGATTTTTTGTGGCAGCTAAGGAAAGATTCAAGGAATTTGCTAATATCGAGTACTCGGTCTTGGATATCAGCAAAGATCCTATTTCTCAGGGGTTTCCAGTCGAGGAGTTCGATCTTATCATTGCAGCGAATGTTCTTCATGCCACACCAAATCTAAACGCGACGCTCAAGAACGTACGAAAGTTGATTGCGCCAAGCGGAAGACTCTATCTGCAGGAGTTGAGCCCAAGTATGATGAGACCTGTGAACTTCATAATGGGCATACTTCCGGGATGGTGGCTCGGGGCAAATGATGGTCGCTCGCTTGAACCGTTCATCAGCACGACGCGCTGGGATCAAGAATTGCGAAAATCTGGCTTTTTAGGGACCGAGACTGTGGTCCTTGACAATGACGCGCCATATAATCTCAATGCGAATATTATAGCTCGACCCGAGCCGACAATCACTACCAATGGCTATAATAGGACTATTTCAATCCTGGGAGATCCTCAAAATTTTCAGCAGCTCATTCGACTCTTTGAACATCGCGGTTACGATCTCCAATGCTACTCGACGTGTGATCGCCTACCAGCTAACCAAGATATCATCTCATGCTTGGAGCTATCCAATCCTTTCTTCGACGACATTGACTCAGCTAATTTTGCACAATTTCAAAAGATTGCACGGCATCTTCAGAATAGCCGTCTTTTGTGGTTGACAAAATCATCCCAAAATTCCTGCATTGATCCAAGATTTAGCCTTGTACTGGGTCTGGCACGAACTCTTAGAGCGGAAACTTCCGTGGACTTCAATACTTTGGAGATCGATAAATTAGACGAGAAGACTTTCGAACATGTGGTTGCTGTATTTGATAAAATTAGGCATCGACATACAGACCCGACGGCATCAGAGATTGATCCAGACTACGAATTCGTTCTGTCGAATGGTGTCGTGCAAGTCGGTCGTTATCATGCAGTAACTGTTCCTAGCGAACTGCCCGTACCGACCGAAGCAACTGCTCCGAAAAGCCTGACGATTGGAAAATTAGGCTTGCTGCAGTCACTGTCGTGGGAGCAGCGAGATGTTTTGCCCGAACTTGGTGATGACGACGTTGAAGTCGAACTACGCTGTGTCGGTCTCAATTTCCGAGTAAGTGTCTCGTTCTAATCGCGAGTCGCTGAAAATTGACGGGACTAGGACGTTCTCACCTGTATGGGTATTGTCGAAAGCAGCATCGGAGGTCTGGGTCTCGAAGCATCTGCCATAGTTCGAAAACTAGGTAAGAATGTTCGAGATCTTGCTATCGGGGACAGAGTCATGGTCTTTGGAAGTGGCTGTTTCAGTACGAAGAGGAATATTTCTTCTTTCTTGTGCGCAAAGATACCCGACAACGTTGGGGACGAAGAAGCTGCTACAATGCCTACGGTCTACAGCACAGTTATACACTCTTTGATCAATCTAGGAGGGTTGCAGGAGGGACAGGTAAATTCAATATTCTCTGGATTGTGAAAGGTGCTAATAAATAGACTGTTTTGATACACTCAGCTTGTGGGGGCGTCGGATTGGCAGCAATTCAACTCTGTCGATACTTGGGCGCAGAGGTAAAGTCTTTTGTTGAGATTAGCATAATATAATAACTGACAATTTAGGTTTACGTAAGCGCTGGGAATGAAGAAAAGGTCGCCTATCTTCAGAACCAGTTCGACATCCCTCGAAATCGTATATTCCATTCCCGTGACGATTCTTTTCTCTCTAACCTGATGCGCGAGACAAATGGGAAGGGAGTCGATTTGGTGCTCAATTCCCTCTCGGGTGAACTACTTCATGCGTCTTGGAAATGTGTGGCTGAAGGGGGACGCTTTATCGAGCTTGGAAAGCGTGACTTTATTGGCAGAGGGAAACTCAACATGGATATCTTTGAAGACAACAGGTACGGAAAATGCAGCTTTCCGACAGCATATAAAATCTAGGGACGGGCTAATTGGTTGGGATAGGGCTTTCTTCGGGGTCGACTTGAACAGGTTCACTCCAAAGCAATGTAAACCGTAAGACATATCCATATTTTTCAATTGCCCACGGTTTCTGACAAATTCTAGTCTGCTTGAAAAGACGGCAGAACTTCTCCGAGAAGGACACATTAAACCCATTAATCCAAGAAAAGTGTTTGAATACACAGAGGCCGAAGAAGCATTCCGATATATGCAAAAAGGAATACACATTGGAAAAGTCCTCGTCAAAATGCCGGAGCCTGGCGAACACATAAACACAAGGCCCTTGATGACAAAAATAGCGCTGCACGAACACAAAACCTTTATTCTGATCGGGGGCCTTGGTGGTCTCGGAAGAGCCATATCAACATGGATGATTGAACGCGGTGCACGCCATTTCATATACTTGTCCAGATCTGCCGGATCAGAGAAAGACCTCCCTTTCATCCAGGAACTTGAAGCTCAAAAGTGCTCAATCCAAACGATTGCTGGTAGCGTTGCCAACATGGCCGATGTCAAACGTGCAATTGCTGCAGCCAAAAGTCCCATCGGCGGTATCCTCCAAATGTCCATGGTTCTCCGCGATCAACTATTCGCAGAACACGATTTCGAAGATTGGCGTACAGTTGTTGATCCCAAAGTCAAAGGTACCTGGAACTTACATCACGCACTAGAAGGGCATGACCTAGATTTCTTCGTCCTTTTCAGCTCCATCTCCGGCATCGTCGGCACAAAAGGCCAAACAGCATACGCAGCCGCAAACACCTTTTTAGATTCTTTCGTCTTATACAGACATGGTCTTGGACTTCCAGCATCGGCAATTGATATCGGAATGATGACTGAAATCGGATATGTAGCAGAGACCAAGGCTTTGCATGGGATGGTAGGGGCTAAAGCCTTACACGCATTACGCGAAACGGATCTGATCGACGCGTTGCAATTGTCGATTGCGAGTAACTCCTCGGTGAAGAAATCGACTGTGCCGGGGATTCGTAATGCTTCTTCTTTGGTCATCGGTCTTCGACCCACCAAACCTCTTGACGACCCAACAGACACGACACCGTGGAAACACGACAGGAGAATGAGTCTCTACCACGACGTCTCTTCCGGACCCACACAATCGACATCTTCATCCAACGACAATCTCCGAGCATTCCTCGGCTCCGTCGAAACTACACCCAGCACCCTCGATTCTGCAGCGTCGTTCGAGTTTCTGGCACGTCTAATCGGCACACAGCTTTATGTGTTTATGATGCATCCGATCGAAGACTTGGATTTCGCGCAGACCTTGAGTGGATTGGGTGTGGATTCTTTGGTCACGCTTGAAGTGCGGAATTGGTGGAAGAGGAGTTTGGGGGTGGATGTCAGTACGTTGGAGATTTTGGGGGCGGGAACTATTGAGGGACTTGCGAAGTTGGCTGGGGAGGGGTTGAAGAGGAAATATGGTGAGAGCGTCTAATTCGCTAGGTGAGCCGTGGAAAAACTTGGAATACTTGACATCTCGATAATTGATTGACCAGAAATTTGGAGCCAGCGTCGTCCACATAAACGAAGCCGAGCTGTACAAATGACCTCATTCTCATGTCTCAGACGTTTTCAGACATCTCCTTCCTAATTTTTACATCCCTCCTCAAATTTTCAAGCTCTCGAACTCTACTAAGATGCATAATCTCGAGAATAGACGCCAGGCTGGAGATTTCTGAAAGTTGGCAAACTTGTTACACTATGTGCTTTGGGAATACACTTGGTGAGTACTGTCAAAAGCTCACAAACTGCTATTTCCTTATCCTCTATTAATAACTCAAATCTTCAATTTCCTCTCACGCTCACCGGAACCTCTCATCTCCATTCACTTCCATCACAAAAATCTCTATTCATACATCTTCACCCGACATAACCTCGCTTAACACTCGCTAACCCCCTTTCCACCCTTCACCCTCCATTGTCCTACCGTCCAGCTTCCAGCTTCAACCCTCCTCCCACCACATATTCATCTCATTTATGATATATCATACTCCACACTCTCAGATTAATTACTCATCATGACAAACACAATTACCTTCCAAATCCACTCACCGATTCATCCAATATCGACTAGGCAGCCTAATCACACCTCGTATCGCCCCCTGAATCTTTAATTAAGCGAGGAGGTGTGAATCTTACTTACATATCCTCACAACAACCTCGCTGTGAAATTGGGCGAATATTTTGTTATCGATTTGCTATGGATTCTCATAGCACGCTGAGGGGAGCGGAAAAGGGTAGTTACAAGCAAGAATAAGAGAATTATTGAGTGAAGATAGTAAGATCTTGTGAGTTCGTTTCTAATGATATCTTGATTCCTGTGTGTCTAATAGTGTAACATAGTTCGTACACCATCAAACAAGCAACTGCGTACACTCCACTATTCCTTCCAAAAAAACGCCCTGGTATCCATCCTACTCCAATATCCATCCCAATCTAACCATCCCATCCCAAGCCAAACCAAAATTCCCACGCAAGTCCATTTCATCAAGAAACAGTCCCATTCGCACTGTAAACCACAAAAGATCCAAACTCCCAATACGCATTCGCGAACGCCGTATTATTATTCGCCACGTAATCACTACACGTCCCCGGACAACTCTGCGCATATATCGTCTCGTCGCCAGCCCATGAACCACATAGATCGATATTCGCAATGATGCTCTGATTCCGGAAATGCGTGTCGATATCACAATTCGTGTTTGGGAAATCCGCTGTCGCTTCAGGCCAGGTGGATGGATCTGGCGAGCCGGCGCTGATATCTGATGGAATGGAAGCACGCGCGAATTGCCACATGCGTATTCCCGCGGTGCGGAGTTCCATTGCCATAACCCCGCCGCCGTTGTTGTTGAAGGTGTTGCCGAAGGTCGAGGTGCCGGCGTCAACGCCGCAGCCTGCATTGCCATTTGTGGAATTCAAACAGCTGGATTGGAGATCTGTGCCAGTGTCTTTGCGTTTGACATCCATAGAGCAGCCTTTGGTTGTGTGAAGGGTCATTTGGTTCTGCGTGTCTGAAACCACGTTGACGGCTTCCATGATGTCAATTTCGCCGTTGGTAGGCCAATTTGAGGGATCGGAGAGCCAAAGAGCAGGCCAGGTTGCGCAACCTGTGGGTGTGTGCTTGACGTCGAAGATGAAGAGGTTGTTTGTGCCGTATTGTTTTTTTGAAGTGATGCGAACGGAGAAGCGACCGGTCGAGGCATTAGGAACACTGGATGAGTTGACTGATGTGTCGACTCTGAGAACAGCTGATGAGGTGGATGCGTATGTGAGATTGTACTGAGCAGCCGCTACTGAATCGACATAATGCACAAATCCGCTTGATGGATCGTATCCTGTGAAGTAGTCGAAGTTGTCAAAGAAGTTCTCTCCGGAATCTATATCCGTTAGCAAGCACATCAAATAAGAGCAATGATACATACATGTCTCCGAAACACTATAACTCAACCTCGAATAATCCGGGTACTTATTCTTCTTATTCGTCACCACCACCGGAACCACAATTACGATTATCAAAATCACCACCGCAGCCGCAACCCCAATCCAAACTTTCTTCCCCCAACCCTTAACGTCATACCACTTCCGTCCCACGCCATCCTGCCTCTCAAACTCCCCCGTCCCCTCTACAAACTGATTCTTCATAATCTCCGTCGCGCTCGAATACGTCGTATGTTTGCGCTCCACGCTATCAAAACTCTCCTTCCCCTTCTCACTGTCAAACGAGTACACCGACGGCGATCTCTGTGGGAGATTCGTACTTCTGGCGCGGATATGCAGGACGGCTTTTGGTGGTTTCCAGTACTCGAGCGGACGGAACGGAAGTTGCGAGGGGGCGGCCATTATTTATATGGACTACGTCGGACGTTCTTGCCCTGCAAGAATCGCACACGAATTAAAAGCGGACCAACACGAACCGGACGTTGGATGATTCGTGGTCGCGATACGAATGGGGTGGATGATGCAGCGGGATTATCCACTTTGGGTGGTAGCCCTATATGCAGCTGACGAATGCAGATACGGGTGGGACGGCGGTGGTTGGATTGGTTGATTAAGAATATATTAGAAAAATAGAGTGATAAAGAAAGTAAGAAAGATTGAATGTTGAGGTTTCCTGGAGAGATGATACTTGATACTTGAGTACATATCGCATCCAGACCACCCCACCAGCGTCTGAGCCAAGATATGGAACTTTCATCTCATCAAGATATCCCATCAAGCTTCCCGGTAATTCTTCATCGACAGGACGAGAAATGGATACATTACCCGACCGCATTCATGCCTTCTCTGCTATACAGCGTTCTGATTGATGGATTCTTGGAACGATCACCATGATACCCAAGATGCGGAAGATCAAGTTTCACTCATCGAACGACTGTGGAGAAACAAAACGTGTCGAGGCGTTCGAGGCGTAGCAGAGCCGAGGAAGGGAGGGAACGACATGTCTTCATTCATGTTCATATCGAGGACGATAAGATTTTTGAGTTGTTCTTTTGTAATATCAGACCTGATTAATGTTGCAATGGATTTTTGCAGAGATGTAGATATGGAAATGTTGACATTCGCCACTCGCGAACAGATCTCGTTTCAGCGTCTCAAAATGCGTCGTACCACCAAAACATGACTCCAATCATGCAAAATGAGATATCAGTTCACCAAACCGCCATGGAAACCTTCTAACACTTACTTTACATATCTGATACATTTATTCAGACGTATAGAGTATTTAACAATTCTCTTCTCATCCTATCATTCTCTTAATAAAATTTATATCCCGGTAATCCAATCAAAACCATCAAAGCAGCCACATTTTCAACTACCGCAGCATTCCTAAACTGCCCCTTCAAAGAACCGCTCATCTAAACTCTAGAAAAATTCCACCTCACACCAAAAATTCATATCATCCGAATTAACTTTAACTAAAATCGTTGCCGCTGCTAAGTGTAGAACCAGCCGCGTAATCCCTTACATCCACTATCGCTAGCTCTTCTCCACCTGGCTGGGTAGTTTCCGTGCCCGCTTCTTAGTGAAAGCTATCCTTAGAAAGTAACATAGAGCTTTGGTAGAATATGTTCGTTGATATGAAAAGATAAAGACCGAATGATGTTTTATATCTAGATCGTTGCGCTTCGAGCTGGAAACGAACTTCTCATATCGCTGTGTTGAATGAGGACACAAAACTTCCTTCACCTAGATAAAATGATATAATGATCGTCCCATGAGTGGTGGTCCCAAAGCTCAGATTCCAGCTATACAAGCCATTGATTATTTCAGCAGAGATTTCCTCAGTATACAGTACACCTTTATCTAACATTACGCCTCTGATTTCCATACCAAAACTCCGACGCAATGCCCAGTTCCATATCCACACACATATCATACACCCCACCTCTGCCCACATTCATCTTTTCAGGACCTCATCCACATATCTGCTGTTCATCCTAATCACTCTCACTAGGCCTCCTCATATAACTATCAATCGCCGCACTAAACGCCGCAAAACCCGCACACCCCACAAGCGCCGCCTGCGGTCCCGCCGGCGCCGCCAACACACCCCCCGTAATACACCCCGCCATAACGCCATTCGCGAGATCGTTCTTCGCGCGGAACCCTTCGATACAGCATTCCGTGCCCGCGAAGATGGCGCCTACCTTTCCGAAGTTCTTGGCGGAACTGTAGGAGCGTGATCCCATGTCTTTGAAGCCTTGTTTGAGTTGTTGGCGCAGCGGGAGGGAGATGATGGATTGGGCGTTGGGGTTGGTTGCGAGGGGGGTGTCGTATTGCATCTGTGGGTGTTAGAAGGGGAGGGAAAGTGGGAGAGGAGACGTACAGAGGCCATGAAGAGACCGAAGGCGCCGCCGAGGGCGAAACCCATTACGCCTGACATTGCTGTTTTCTGGGGATGTTAGTGAGGTTCGAGATATAGATGGAGGGGTGGCTGATCGAGAGCGGAGTTGGAGGAGATGGGTGTACATACCCCGGGACATGATTCCATTACTGTTTGTAACTGCGAGAAAATCAATGGTTAGCAAGGTTTCTTCGACGATAGTCTTTCAGCATATCCAGCAGCTCTCTTCATCTGTTCCGTATATCCAACTTCCGTCGCTCGATTCTCGTGTGTACGGTGCATTTCCTTCCCAATCATGTAACATCCACCTCGCTTCCGTTTCTCAACATCTCTACTCTCTGTTTCTTCTCCTCGACATCCGTGGACTGCCTCTTTGCTGCCAATTCTTGCCATACCCCACACCATCTCCCAAATCCTGCTCTCGTCTCGAAAACCCTCTCTCCCTATATTGTCTGTATCTCCGTCCTCTATTCTCGACTTTTTGCGTTTCGTCCCATAGCACCCAAGACCGCCCTCGCACTCCTATATCCTCTCATCTTCCATCTCTTGCTAGCTTTCCTGCCACCCATATGCCCCCTCCGATGTCTTCATCTCTTCAACCCCCCCATTCACCCCTCCCAACCCGCCCCAGACCCTCCCCCTATCCACTCCAACTCCCTCTCCCTTCCATCTCTTTCCCACCCCTCCCAACCATCCACAAAATGCCAAAAGAGCATAAAAAAACAGTATAAACTCACAGCCTTAACAGCAGCCATAGCCTGCGCATCCTGCGGATCCACACCCGCCGTATTCCCGGCTCCCCCGTTGAACAGTGGATTATTCATTTCTTCACTCCTTTATTCTCCTCTTCACTCCTATTCCCCAAGTCCTCCTTTGGCTCGTGGTCGTGGTTATGCTCGAAGCTTCGTTCTGGTCTGGGTTCTCTCGCTTTGGTCGTAGCCAGGAAGATGACAGGATAGCGGCCTGTTCGTATAGGTCTTAGACAGTCTGTATACTGATATCGATATTCAAGACGTACGATAGAGTCGTTAGTGAAAAAGTGGAAGTTCGAGTGTTGCGACGGATGAGAAACCGCGCGATTACCTTTTTTCTGCCGTATCGGGTCGCAGGGTGGTGAGGCAGCAAAGCGGTGAGTGCTGAAATGTATCCCACGTGATATGCCTCATCAGATTCCTGGAACGAGTGCATCACAATCCGGCATCGACAAAAGAATAGGGATCAAAGCCATATTTAATCAGGGAAAGATTCTTCATTGAACACTAAAACTCAATAATCGCCATTCTGTTCGAACAATTATCATTATAAGGCTCCCTGTATATTTCACTTCAACCACCACAACTAAAACCCGTCAAATTCCAAGTCATGTATAAAAAAGTGATTAATTCATACCATCTACATCTATATTC